AAATATATTTTTCATGTTTGTTAGTGGAAATTAGTCACTGGGAAATGGATTTTGTTTAAGGCAGGAAATTAGTTTTAAAACAATGTATGATTTATTTCATGATCCTTGTTTCCAGGAATTAGCATTAATTTATGGTTGGTAATAACTATGACTGTGAGCAATTCTCTAACCTTCCCAGACCTTGGTTTCTTCATCTGTAAAACACAGAGATTGGGTGAGTTGAGCTCTGTGCCATTTTTAGCTCTGAAACTCTTAATCCTGTGGTTTCTGGAAAGCAAGGGTTACCCTTCACGGTGAAAGGTCTCAAGTTGATGGCAGATCTCAAGTTGGCTTAATAAACTGAGAATTTATGCTCTTGACTAAGAAAGCAGATTCTCATTCACGAATCTGAAAATCTGAAAAAACTCTGTCCTTTTGTTGACCTTTGACAGGATATAGAGACTATGCTGTTGAACATCCCCCACCCTCTTGGTTACGTAGGCAGTGCAAGACACTAGTGATTGGCGTCTGGTTGGCTCTCAAATAGTTGTTACGTCAATGAATGAATACACTATGTCCTATGTCATTGTTGCGGGGGGGCGGGGGGGGGGGAATAATACAATATCATTCAGGTCTGATCGTCTGGTACTTGTGGGCTTTTTAAAGAATCTTCCTGAATACCTATCACAAGCAGTTATTTTTAAAAGATGGTGTTGGTATAAGACAGGGGTTGCAAACTCAGATGTCTGTACAGAAAAGCAGACTGTGTTTATGATCTCCAATTTGTTTTTGGAATGCGCAGCTCACTCTGTTTATCTTTTGTTTTTCCAATTCTGATTGAGATCGTGATGCAAAGAAATTTCTCTTCGGTAAGAAAATCAGAAAGGCAGGTGTGATGATAAATAGCACAAGGCGTACACCCTCGCCAGTGGGAAGCAGTAGGGAGCGGTGGGGACTGAGGTGAACTGAAGGTGCCATTCCACCTCTCCTGGGGTCCCAGTGTTGCCACAGTTTTCATTTTTCCAAGACAAGCTGGATTTTTATATGAACTTTTCCTATTTTTAAACTTTGGCTCAAATAAAACTAATTTTGGGGACTCCCCCCCCCAGTATATCAATTTGAAATCTCTGACACATGTTGGTGAAGATTAGTACCTGGGATGGGCTCCCAGGTCATCTCCCTCTGGTTGGTCTGGTCTGGGGGTCCTGGCAGAGCTGTGTGTGCAGGAGGCTGCTATGTTCATCCTTGCATACAGACGTGGAAGAATTTAAGATATGTAAAGTAATAAGCAAGTGGTAGAATAATATATACAGTTTTATTTTATTTACATAATTATTTTTTTCAAGAAGATGTATAGATAAACTTTTAAATGCATAAAAATTTCACAAGAAACGTAAAGGCATTGCCTCTGAGATGGACACTGAATTGAAGGCAAGAAAGGAGCTTCTGCTTTCTTAGTTTGTGCCCTCCTATAACCCGTAGTGCTTCGTTTTTGGGAGGTAAAATGAAAAGAGTTGGTGGGAAGTGTTGCTGTATGGAGAGTGTAAGCCTTCCATGCTGAATGTAAGAGGACAAAGAAAAGCAGAGCAGCCTGGAGTGATCGGAAAGGGCCACTGGGAAGAGAAGGGGCCTTGAAGGCTGAGCAGAATTTTTAAATTACTTTTTTTATATTTTATTTATTGATTTTAGAGAGAGAGAAAGGGAGAGGGATAGAGAGATAGAAACATCGATGAGAGAGAAACATTGATCAACTGCCTCCTGCATGCCCCCTACTGGAGACTGAGTCCACAAGCCGGGCATGTACCCCCACTGAGAATTAAGAGAAGGGGCCTTGAAGGCTGAGCAGAATTTTTAAATTACTTTTTTTATATTTTATTTATTGATTTTAGAGAGAGAGAAAGGGAGAGGGATAGAGAGATAGAAACATCGATGAGAGAGAAACATTGATCAACTGCCTCCTGCATGCCCCCTACTGGGGACTGAGTCCACAACCCGGGCATGTACCCCCACTGAGAATCGAACTGGTGACCTCTTGGTTCATGGATCAACACTCAACCACTGAGCCACACTGGCTGGGCGGGCAGACTTCATTAGGAAAAAGGATGGCAGGAGCCCAAGCCCAGAGGTAGGAAGACAGGGTGAGTTGGGGACTTGTGAATAATTAAGTATGGCAGGAGCCAAGGGTATAGGGAGGTGGTGAGAGATAAGGAGGCTGTAGGAGCCAGAACGGGTGTGTGACGGAGACAGTGGACTGGGAGCTGTGCCCCAGCATGACTGACTCGGCAGCAGGGACCAGGAAGTTTGGAGGCAGGGCCGCAGGGCGGGAGCCTCTCACCCTCTCACGTGGCCTCTTCTGGCTCCCGGGTAGCTGTCACCCATTCCTGCTAGGGTGTTGCTTGGTGAACAAAGGTAATGCCTATACACCTGATGAGTAAGCTCATGGCACTTTCTGTTCCTCCACTCCCAGGCGTGTGGGCTTTGGAAGCTTCCGACCTCTGCTGGTGCAAAATGTGGTTCCTGTATCCCTGAAACCAGCACGTCTCCCCAGACATTTTGGAGGTTCTGTAGGGCAACTGGCCACTGGCTGAAGTGTAGTCACTATAAACAAGCCCACACTTTGGAGTCAGGCAGATCTGGGCATGAATTCTGACCTTGCCACTTACTGGTTATGTGACCTTGGGAAGGCACTTGACTCCTTTGGGCCTCAATGCCCTCGTTTGCAAATGAATGTAAAATGATATACCTTCTAGGGTTGTTGTAGCTAATAGATTGATACTCAGCAAGTAGGTGTGCCTTGCTTTACTTTTCTATTATGACACCTCCTCTGATCTGTAGTTATGTATATTGATGTTACAGGGGTGGGCAAAGGTAGGTTTACACTCTTGTTCATATGGAAAATAATACAATAAATAATAATACAAGAATAAACTCTGATTTGCGTACTCACGACTGTAAACTTACTTTTGCCCACCCCTGTATTTATGTTCAATGTGTAAAATAGATATTTATTTGTATCTATATATGGCCATGTCCGTCTAGTCCAGTGGTTCTCAACCTTGGCTGCACATTAGAATCACCTGGGAATCTTTTTAAAATCCTGATTTCTGGGCCTCATCCTCCGGAAATTCTGTTTCTTTGTTACTAATGTTGTGGTCCTACCTCATAACAAAGAAACAGAATTTCCGGAGGATGAGGCCCAGAAATCAGGATTTTAAAAAGATTCCCAGGTGATTCTAATGTGCAGCCAAGGTTGAGAACCACTGGTCTAGTCTGGATTGTAAGTTCCTGTTCAGTGGGGATAATTATGTTCTAAACATTTTACCCCAAAGCACTGAGTATTAAGCCCATAATAGGGCTGACTACATGTTGGACGAATGGAGTCTGTGTTCTCAACCCTACTCCAGTCTTTACAGCAATGGACTTGTGCTTGAGGAGGATGTGTCTGCAGGCTGGGGATATCTCCTCTGTGGCTAAAACAAGTGTTGTTCGGCTGACGTGTCAGGATGGCGCGTGATCATTTTGCTATGGCAGATCTATATTTTGTGGCGCTTGACGTTTATATGTTTTGGGAGGACTTCTTTTAAAATGTATAAAATTGCAGAAGGTATGCCAACACATTGCTAGGGCCCTTCCGGAGGCCTTAGACGGGGCTTGTGAAAGTGAGGGGCCTTAGAACTTGAGCTTTATTAGTTTCACAGCAAGTCATCTGAGCATTTAGAGACTGGTAGAACATTCACTACAGGCAGTAGTAGGAGTTATGAAGGATGTGGAGATTTCTAAAAGGGGAAAAAAATGCTGATACAGGTTTTAGTAAACCTGTCATTCCAAGTAGACTCAATAAAATTTGCCTGTATTGTTTTTTTCATTCAACAAATATTTATTGAGCACCTGCTGTGTGCCAGGCACTATGTAAGCACTGGAATGTAGCTGTGAAATCTGCATGGTCTTGCATCTAGACCTAGGTTGCAAAGAGCCACAGTGTTGATGTTAGGCTGTGGGGATAAAGCCACAGGCAGTAAAGGCATTTTGGTTTCTTAGTTTCACTTTCTGATCCCTCTCACTTTCTCTTTTCTAGGCCTTTTCTGGGAATGAGAGCCACAGGGTTAAATCGATGCTGATTGGACCTTAACCATCCCAAACAGTGACGAAAGAGCCATAGATTGTTATGAGGGGGAGTAGGTACAGTGGCTTTTAACTGCTCAACCCTTCCTGGCCCTCACTGTGTGAAATACAAGTTTCCCCTGCTCTCTGAAAGTAGAGCTTTCTTATGAAACCTTTCATAAGATGAAATAGCGTAAAGCGAAGTAATTACCATTAATTTATGTGGAAAAATTTTGGGGTGTTCCAAGACCCCCCCAAAAAACTTATCAAATCATACCAAATAACTCATAAAACCTAAAATAGCACTACCATACTGTAAAAGCAGTAATGCACAAGATAAGTCGAGATAAAGCACAGGTTCTCACTTGGGGCGCGTGCTGCCTTTGCAACAGCTCCCTGCAAAACAAATGCTGAGCGCTATTTTTGCTTCTCACCTTTTTCCGTAGAAGCGAACATCCTCTTTGGATTTCTTTCAGTTAGCAAAAACAGGTACTCATTAATGTCGGTCTTTCATGAAAGTGAGAGGTGTAACTTGACCTTTCGAAAAGGGGGCTACACCTGTAGTGATATGGGAGCCATCATTTCTCCATCAAAGGCTCTGCCGTGGGGTCGATTTCAGCCAGTGTGGCAGAACAGAGCAATTCCTTCTGACTCCAGAGCTTGTTAGGGGAGGGTGTTTCTTATGTCCTATTTCTAGAGGGACAGCCAACCCGAGCCTCAAAGAACAGAAGAATCAAGGCTGGAGACACACAGCACCTGCCTCGCAGTTCACCCCCAGCAGCGCTCCGCTGGGCCACGGCAGGGTGGTGACTCAGAGCTGGAACTGTGTTCCTGCACCGTTGCCAGATTTTGCATCAGGGGCGGGGAGGAAATAGAATGAATGAGTAGGAGCAAGTGGCTGCTAGATTTGTAACACCTTGGGAGGCAGCTGCTCCAGAACCGAAATTGAAAGCAAGCAGGTGGACTGGGAGCTTGCGCTTTACCTCTGCAGATGCCCAGGTCCTCCCCCCATGTCTGACCTGGACTGGGGTTTTCATCAGGCCAACATGAAGCTCAAGGAACGAGTGTGTCTGCTGCCTTCCCCAGCGAGAACAGGAGAGCAGGTTAGTCCTGTACTGGTTTCTTAAGGATTCGGTTTGCTGCGATGTAGTCCGATTCATGAAAACCCAAGTCATGACGGAGAGAAAGGGAGTTTTCTATGGCTTTAGTTGGGAGTGCCTACAGTTAAAAAACAATAATCTGCTTTAATTGGGAATAAGTAGGACAAAAGTATCATTAGCTGCACCTCCCTGATGTCGTTACAAAGGATATTCTGTTGGCAAGTGACATTGGGGAGGACAGCTGCCCGCCTGGTTCCTTTGTGTTTTCACGTATGTGCAGTGTGGTTACATCTCGGTCTGTGGCTCTGGTAGGAGTCTGAGATGAACTTCAGCGCCTTCAGATGTTGTAGCTAGAAGATCGCCTGGTCCAGCCTTCTCACTTTACACTTTACGAACCTCACTTACTGAAGAGTATTAAACAGAAGCATAAAACTGGGTGTTCTCTGAGATCGAACATGCTTCCTGTGCAGTTTTAAAACTTCTCTAGGGTGTGGGTTCCTAGCTGAGCACGGCCTGGTGGAAGGCTTTTCTTCTTGGGCCACACTTTCTGAACCATGGGCCTCAACCCAGCGAGGGACAGAAGTGTGGCTGAAGGAAGGCGCCTCTTGATCTTAAACTACTTTGCCTGGCAGGCTTGTTCTTTAAATAGAAGTTTAAACAGGAGGCTTGTGCTGTGCCTTAACTCAAAAGGAAGAATGTGTTCTTGAGCTGCTGTTCTGTGGAGGGCTAATGATACTGGAGCTGGCAACGTGGAAGAAGATAAAACAACTCGATTAGAGAAGAGTTTTAGAGCTAGCACAAGAAAAATCTAACAGGCACTGAAGATTGAGTGTTTGCTGTAGGCCAGACACATTATCGGCACTCTTCACAACAATCTTGTCAGGTTGCAATGGTCTCTTTTTTTCAGATAAAGAAACCAACTCTCAGAAAGATCACTAACGCCTTCAGGGTCGTGCACAGCCAGTGTATGGCAGAGCGGGGATTTGAACTCCAGTCTCTATGACTGACTGGTCTGGGGGTTCATGCTCTGCAGGCCTCCGGTGGCCTCTCCACATGGGGAGACTAACCCCTCCTTGGACAGATGAGGAAACCAAGACACAGGGAGGCCACTCCTCCCAGCACCCCCTTAGGGGGCTGGGACTGGTTTGGTAGTAATTAAGCTGTACCTCAGCTCCTATTGCGTTGCTTCCCTGACACATCTATAAAAGAGAATTAGGAAAGGGGAGGCTATCTGGGTTTGATTTCCTCATTCTATCAGGCGTTTGCCTTTAATCTTTTCGTGATTATCGAGATCCTATGAAGCCATAATTAAAACATCCTATTAGCAAGTAGCAACCCTAAGTACTGGGGCCCCATGTGGGAACTCGGGAAGCAGATGGATTTGCAGCATGGTCACTGGGTCAGGAGGGGTGATTTAGGAACTTTGTTGGCCATAGAGTGGATCTGAAAACACCTGGAGAGCCTAGTGCAATAGAGGGCTTTCTCAGTCATGCTGATGACTTCCGTCTGTTGAATTCAGAGTCTGGAAAGGACAGAACTTCCCTCTTTGCAAGATGTGAGAGCTTTACATTATCTTAGTTAATTTTGCGACTCTCTTACGCCCCGTCTGTGCCAGGCTCTGCCCCTTTTGGCACCTCTGGGTGAGGAGAACAGTTACAAACTGGCCCTCCAGGTGGTGGGTCTGGGGTTTGGCTGGATTTCAGTGTCTCTGCCTAGTTAGGTGTGCGACTGAGTCAGGTGTGGTGGGACAGGGGAAGGCTTTTCCTTGGTCTGTGTCATACCCCCCAAGGCTGGTGGAGTCTCAGCCTGGGTGTAGAGTCCTTTATCAGGGCCCGTGGGCCCCTGCCTCGCCCGCTCTCTCTGAGGAATCTGTGATAGGTCGGGGCTGCTGACATCAGAAAGTGAGATGGGTTCTGCACAGCCTCTCCCTGAAGGCCATGTGTGTTTGTGCTCTGGCTGTTGAGATAAAGGAGTTCAAGTGCCTGCTCCATGGTATCACTGCTGTGCTGCAGGAGAGACAGGAGAAACAAGGGAAGGACTGCTCCCGGCCCTCTGGGCACTTAGGATCTTGCTGGAGATAGGGGAGAGGCGAGGAGAACAAACACACCTGAAATAAGTAGAGAGCATTATGAGAGAGTATATAATCAGTCACCAAATTGTAGGTTTCACACCAAATACTCTCCCAGTTCACCAAAGGGAGATCCAGGTAATGTTTGTATTATCCTCGTATGTGTTTTTAATCACTCAGTAATTTCCGCTCTGGTGTTTGCATTCCGTTCTTTGATTCTCTCCGAGTGGACTAGCTTTCCCTGGCAGAGGTGGGGGATGTTGCAGAGGAGGGCTAATTTCTCCAAATTATATTGTAACAGTTGGGAGAGAGCCAAGGACGAAGCGTTCTTGGCATGTCAGTGTCTCCTTGTTCCTTCCTCTGGCAGTCAGAGCAGAAAGCCACTGCCTTCTGTGGCTTCTGACCTTTTAGGTTCTTGTCTCTTTGTTACCTGAGTCCAGACTTTTGTAGGGTTAGCGAGCCTATTTGGAGGCATGGCCTCACTTTAAGGTGGGAGTCTCCTTAGTCATTTCTCACTCATTCATTCAACAGTTATAATAGTGCTACCCGCTGCTATAGACTGATGATAGCAGTGAAAAGACAGACAAGGTCCTGGCTTTCCTGGACCACACATTAGTCAGGGAGACTGATAATAGCAAAAACATTTATAAGTAAGAAAAATAACAGTTAGTAATAATTAAAGTAGGGTGATGTGCTGTGACATGACTGGGAGCCTACTTCAGAGGGTGGTTGGGAAGGGCTCTGAGATGGTGATGATTCTGCTGAGGTCTGAAGGACAAGGAACCAGTCATGAGAGGGGAGGAAAGAGCATCCAGGCTGAAAGGACAGCGGCTGGTACAAAGGTTGCTAAGTAGGAAAGAGCTTGGCATTCAAGGAGCAGAAAGGAGGCCAGTGTGACTGGGGAAGGAGGAGAGCGGTACAATAAGAGGTGGAGCTAGGCAGGGGTCAAGTCATCTAGGATCTTCTAAGCCAGTGGTTCTCAACCTTCCTAATGCCGCGACCCTTTAATACAGTTCCTCATGTTGTGGTGACACCCAATTTCATTGTTATAAATTAAAGCATATTGATTAATCACAAAAACAATATGTAGTTATATATGTGTTTTCCGATGGTCTTAGGCGACCCCTGTGAAAGGGTCGTTCGACCCCCAAAGGGGTTGCGACCCACAGGTTGGGAACTGCTGTTCTAAGCCAAGGTAAAAAGCTTGGACTGATGCTGTTAGCGGAAATAAGGACGCCTGGAGGAGGAGTATCAGGTTTGGCGGGAGTGGGGAGAGGAGGCTCATTCGATTTTTGCCCTGTTAAAATTTAGACACCAGTAGTCATCACCATAACCAAGGTACAGTCAGGTTTAGCAAATGTTCATTGCATACCTTCTGTATGTCAGGCATTGTGCGAGGCTCTTTAATGTATATTTCCTCATTTTATCCTGACAACAACCTTTTAGGAGGATATTATTATTCTTTTTAAAAAATATATTTTTATTGATTTCAGAGAAGAAAGGAGAGGGAAAGGGAGCGGGAGAGGGAGAGATAGAAACATCAATGATGAGAGAGAATCATTGATCAGCTGCCTCCTACACGCCTCACACTGGGGATTGAGCCTGCAACCCAGGCCTGTGACCTGACCAGGAATGGAACTGTGACCTCCTGGTTCATAAGTTAATGCTCAACCACTGAGCCACGCCAGCCGGGCAGATATTATTATTCTTTATTTGCAAATGGAAGCACTGAGGCTGAGAGGTGAAGCAGCTTGCTCTGGTTTGAACCCAGATCTTCTGACCCCAAGGCTCTGGGCTGACTTGTTGCTCAGGGCAGATATTGAAGGAGGCTGGTTAGCATTGTGTTTCCACTTGGAGAGAGTATGGGGACCATATGTTGGCTCATCAAGGCCTGATTCCCATGCTTCTGGAAGAAGGGCCTGTCAGAGTTAACTCCCGTGTGCAGCGAGCTGTTGATAATCTTGACATTTTCAAAATAGTGTGAGTTCCAAAGACCACTTGGGTAAGATTCTCAGGAAATGCCACATGACCATGCTGACACTGCACTAAACAAGCAATTTTGTAAAAGTGTTAAGTAAAATAAAACAAAAGGAGCTTAAGAAATGTGGAAAGCTGTTTCAACTGTTGGCTGCTGTATCTCTTGACTCTGTAGCCCAAGTGGAAACGGAAGAAGATGGGGAGGCAATTTGTTTTGTTCTTGGAGTTTCAGTTACTGATTTTGGGACCTAAGAGTACATTAAGTTACCCAGAATCCTTGGTTTTCTTGAGTCACTGGGATTTGGAACAAAGATAGTAAGTGCCTTAACTAGCCTGGAGGCAGTGCTGAAAGTAGCTTCAGTGGTGACTCTTCTGCAATATTCTGGGAGCCACACTGAGGAGCCAGGAGGTCCAGAGTGGCACATGCTGCCGAGCACGCCAATGGGAAGAGCCTTGATAGAGTTATTCCTGAGGCTTGAGGCCGGAAGCTTTTCTTACATCTGAAACCCTTTCTTCTCTTAATAACATGGGCCCCGTGAGAGCTAAAGCTTTGCCGCACTCTCAGCGTACCAACACCACCGCTGTCAGAAAGCCAGATTCACCAGGGGACTCGGACCTCCATTCCCCAGCACCGTTCACATAACTCCACGGCTTCTTGCCATGCCCCCAAAATTGCCATGCTAAGGAATTGGAACCTTTAGGCTTAACCAACCAGAGTCACTGCTCACCTTGTAGTCAAAATCTATATGCATGGAAAATCAGTCTTGCAAAAACGTTGCAAGAAACTACAGGACCCGTGTGCATTTGGACTAATCCTGTCTGTGGCTGCAGGTGGGCTCTTCCTTACATTGAGCTCAAGCCGGTCTCCACTTCTCCCTGGTCCTCACTCTCTTCTCTTTTGTGTTTGCTGTCGGGCTTCTTTAGGGCCTAACCCTAGCCCTTCCCAGCCCGGGGCCTGTGACAACGTGCTGATTTATGTGGATGGTTACCTGTGGCCCGCCTTCTCGGGGATCATCCTTCCCTGCCACCTTCATCCCTGCTACCTGGTCCTCTCCCAGGCGAGACTGGCTGCTGTTCAGCGTGGAGGGGCCGTTCCTGGGAGAAGAGTGGGATAAAGGCGAGGGCTATGTTTGGCCTCATTTGCCAAGTTACTTTCTCAGGGGCCTAAAGAGAAACTGAAGCCCTTGTATGGAGGAGAGAGAGTTTCTGTGCTCCCTGAGACCAGCCGCCTGGCTTCTAGCCGGGCCATCTCCATCACTACCAAAGAGCAAGGTGGCAATTCAGGTTTAAGAACAGGTATTTCGGGGGATTTGTCTGTGCCTGCTAAATATGTCCTGCAACAGGGTTATAGTACATGAGATCCTACATGAGTTTTAGAAAATCAGGAAATGAGCAGGAGGGGTGCTTTTGGGGTAAGGGGTGGGGAGACAGCAGGAAAGGGGAGAACACTTGGCAATCTCCAGGTGGGTGGAGGGCTCCAGCATTTAATAGGCAGCCTTGGTTTGGTAAGGGTGAGTCTGGAGTAGCAGAAAGAGATCAGGAGGAGGTTGACTGAGATGCAGGAACGCAGGAGTTGACTGTCCTTGTGGGCAAGTCATCTACCCTTTTCGGGCCTCCCTTTCCTCACCGTGGTGTGGTCTGATGAGACTCGGCCTGCCCGACAGGGTACTTGGGAAGATTAAATGAAATAAAACAGCCTAAGGACCTAAATTTCCTCCTTTGCTCTAAAAATGCTGAACCAGAAGCTTTGCCATTAGCAAGTTGGGTGAGTCTGATCAGACATGATCAAATGTTAAACAGTATTTCGGAGGCATTACTTTGGTTCATCTCTTTTCTCAATAATATGAGTCTCTTTTTTTCCTTTAAATTCAGTGTTCTATACCACCCCATAACCCGAATCCTGTTTCCTATTGTGTAACATGGGGATAAAAATGCCTGCTTTGCCTAACTCAGTGGGTACTTGGGAGGGTCCAATGCGGTGACAAATGTGACTACACTTAAGGCTTCATGTAAATACAGGAAATGTCGCTAATGATGCTGTGGTTAATACCCCCTTTTTTTTTTTTTTTGGCAAAAAGGGCAGCATTCATATTAGGGAGGAAACTTTAGGAAGCTACCTCTATATTTGGTGCAATGACAGCTGTGTTTTTGTTCACTTTTAAAAACTACCTTTCTTTAAAAACTACCATTCTAATGTTAGAATGTACTAGTAAACTTCATCTTAGTGCCTACGCCATTCAGCTCAGGATTTACTTACCCAAGACTCTGGGCTTTGTCAAGCTTGTACAGGTTGGGTGTGGGGAGCCCAGGAGTTGCTACTAAGGTTGTGTAGTGTATTAGTGTGTGAAGTGGTTGCTGATGCTGGATGCTGCTCCAAGTACATAGAAGATTCGCTCTTTGCCTGATTCCACCAGAGTTCCACCCAGTTGACCTTGTGATAGGACCAGAGGCTGTTTGGGAGTTACTGAGAGTCACGTTGGTGTTGTCAGTCAGACCCTGGCCCTGGCACAGGGGAGACAGGGAGTGAAGGAGGGAGGAAGGGAGGGAGGGAGGGGCAGGGAGAGCAGTGGATGGTGCTATTTTTCTGTTGCCTTGTCTTTAGGGATTTCTGTCACCAGCCAGGAAGCTTCCAGCCCCACAGGCCCCTAAGGGAAGGGGACAGCAGGTTATCATGCAAAGAGAATGCCATTTAGAAATAGAAGACCTGGACTCATGTCCCAGTCTTGTCACTGATTGATGGAGTTATCTTAAACAAGTCACTTAACCTCTCTGAGCCCTTTCCTCATTCATAAGATGGGGTGGCCGGTGTTAATAGCTGAGATGTGTAAGGAAAGGCTTTAGGACTGGAGAACCCTTAAGCAATGAGAGTGGATAGTGGTAAGGGTGTTGCTTTATTGTTATTCCCACTATGAGCAGGGCCTTTTTCTCCTGCAGGTGGAAAGGAGGCAGACTTAGATTAGAGCTTGAGTTTCCAGATTCCCTGGTGAATGGAGAGGCCTCTCTTGAAGGAGCTGGGTGTAAATAAAGCTCAACCCTTGAACGTGGTACAAGGATTTCTGAAACAGGTGTTAAGGGAGCCTGCTTCCCATCCTTATTCAGATGGAAAGACCAGGATGCTGCCTGCCAAATGAGGGCATATAGAACTTGCCTAGAACCAGGAGCTGGGAGTCTGAGGCTGGCAGTGGTTGGGAGGGGTGAGAGGGTGCTGGGACCAGGGAAAAACCTGGCTCTGCCTGCTGCACATTTGGCTTATTGGGAGTCAGGCTGTTCTAGCCTCAGTGCCAGCTTACCCCAGACACCAGAACGCAGGGTGCTCTGACCAGGCTTCAGGGAAGAGTAAGAAAAACTTTGTAGGCCTAGAGATTTTTTTCTTTATAAACCTTTATGCTATACTCATTTAAATCTACTAGTTTCTGGGTTGGCTCAGTGTGCAATTTGGAGGTGAGGCTAACACTTTAATACCAACAAACTGAGATGATGGATGGACTCTGACAGTGAAAACATGTTAACCATCTGTGTTAGGAGCCTTAAAAAATGACCATGCTCTGGTCATCTTACCCCTGGGACTTTAAGCCAAGGAAATCATTTGATTTGCAGAAAAAGCCTATACTCAAAGATGTATCTATAATAATAAAAGCGTAATATGCTAATTAGAGCGGACAGCCGAACGACCTTCCGGATGTCCTTCCGGACAAAACCGCTGTGGTGGGGGACAAGGCAGAGGCAGTTAGGGGCAATCAGGCAGGCAGGCGAGCAGTTAGGAGTGATTAGGCAGGCAGGCAGAGTGGTTAGGGGTGATCAGGCAGGCAGGCAGGTGAGCAGTTAGGAGCCAGTGGTCCTGGATTGTGAGATGTGGGATGGTGCCTAAACTGGCCGTTGGACATCCTCTGAGGGGTCCCGGATTGCGAAAGGGTGCAGGCCGGGCTGAGGACCGCTCTCCCCACCCCCTATGCATGAATTTCGTGCACTGGGCCTCTAGTTTATTATAACAGTGGGGTGGGGAGGGTGCCTGAAATGTCCAGCGTTAGAAGAATGTTCATCTTTCTAGAGTGTAAGCGCTGTCGGGTAAGGTCTCTCTTGTCCACTCTGTGTCTCCAGCATCTAAAGCAGAGCCTGGCACACACACGGCCAGGAAATAGTTTTTGAACAGTTGGTGATATGAGAAAAAATTATATCTGTATGATGAGACTATTATTCAGCTGTTTCAAATGAAGAAGTCTTAATGACATAGGAAAATTTCTGTGTTCATAGGATGTGATAAAAGCAGAATACAGATTTCTAAATACAGTAAAATCATAGCTTTTTTTTTAATAGAAGGAAAAAAATTAAAAAGCTAGGAAGGAGCACATACAAAGGTATATGTCTAGGTGGTGAGATCATGGGTGACCTTCTTTCTGTTTATATTTTCTAAAATTTGTCAAAGGATTGATTTGTGACTGGGGAAAACATTTTCAAACAAGTCATATTCTTTTAAAAAGGAGGTTAGGTTAGTTTATTCAGGGAACAAACCAGTGGTCTCTAGAGCCAGCTCCTCCTTCCTTTCAAAGAACCAGGCAGCCTTTGTGGATACACAAAACACCTACACACTTTGGTTGTGCCTGTCAGCTTGGCGTGGAAGCTGATCCCTCCTAACTTCAAAAGGGTGGTGGGAACTCTGCAGTGTTGAAATCGTGCAGGTCATGTTGCAGAGACATGCCCATACATTTATATCCATCACTGAAGTGAAGACATTCTGTAGTAGGGAGAAGAATTTTAAGAAGATAGTTGGGTTTTTTTTCTGGGTGGGTGGTTAATTCTTAGAATTCTTTCCCTGGTTCATGGGTTTTGGAAGGGCCTTCTGCTTTCCTTCATTCTTGTTTTAGCTCGTGCCGTCTTAAAGCCACTTTTTGCTAAGCTGCTCCGTTTGTTGGAGTCGGTGCTTTGTGGAATGTCTCTCTAAGATGCAGTGCTCTCCTGGAGCCAAGACATCCCTAGAATTAAAATCCCTGCGTCGTAGGTGGCCTCTAGCACCTGAGCTGGAAGTTCTTTTTTTTTTAAAGCATTTTTATTTATTAATTGATTTTAGAGAGGGAGGAAGGGAGGGAGAGAGAGAGAGAGGAACCTAGATTTGTTGTTCCACTTATTTATGCATTCATCGGTTGATTCTTGTATGTGCCCCGACTGGGGATCGAACCCGCAACCTTGGTGTATTGGGACGGTGCTATAACCAACTGAGCTACCTGGCTAGGGCTCAGCTGGAAGTTCTTGGCTTTTGAATACAGCTGGGTTGTAAAAGATTCAGTGCCTCTCAGCAGAAAGGCCCACTTTCTCACCCTGGGAGGCGTCTGTGATGATCAGGGGTCCTCAGACATTCCCAACCTGTTGTTTGTTGTGTCTATAATCCTTTTCATTCATATGACTTTTGCTTCATTATCTCCTTTTCTTTCTCTTTAGCCATAACCAGCAGACCACAGCATTCAGGCATCCTGTGAGTGGGCAGTTTTCTCCAGAAAACAGTGACTTTATTCTTCAAGAAGAGTAAGTACTTTAAATATTCTCTTTCCCGGGCAGAGCTTGGGAGCTTAAAGGCATTTGCTCAAAACAAAGCTTGTTGGATTATTTTCTCTCTCAGCTAGAGGGTCACAGAGTGGTTGGTGAAATGGGAGAATTTTGTTCTGCAGTCTCTGGACTTCTCTCAGTGGGAAGAGGTGGAAGGGGGAGATGGCATGGGGATGTCTGTGATTGGTATTGTCAGAGCCCCTTAAAAGCTCTCTTTCCCTTGAACTAATTATTTTCCTCAAGTGACATCTATCACGTTCATCTGGTGTGAAAATACCTTAAATACAGCCTCAGACCGAGCTGAACCAGCCTCTATAGGAAGCCTCAAGTAAGAGCCCAAAGCCAGGGCTTAGAAGAGAGGAGGACGGGGACACCCATTGTCCCTGGACATTTTGAGCTCATGGTTGCTTTTCCCAACACAGGAACTTTCTTGTTCCTCAGTCCCGTCTCAGCAGGGCCTCTGGGAGCTCAGAGATGGGTCTGCCACGCAGGGCCGTCTACCTAAAAGGCCCGCGCAGCCCAAGCAGGATGGGTTCTTCAACCAAACATGAAGGCAGAGACCCCGTGCAAATGGCTGTGTTCCCTTCTCATCTGAGGCCGTTCTGTTCGAAGAAAACAATTCTTCGTTTGAGAAACTAATAGAGATGTTGGCTTTATGTGTTTTTTTCCCTTCAATTTATTTTTCTTTTGTTCAATCACCTAGACCAGTGGTCGGCAAACTGCAGCTCACGAGCCACATGCAACTCTTTGGCCCCTTGAGTGTGGCTCTTCCACAAAATACCACGTGCGGGCGCCCATGTACAGTGCAATTGAAACTTCGTGGCCCATGCGCCGAAGTCGGTATTTTGTGGAAGAGCCACACTCAAGGGGCCAAAGAGCCGCATGTGGCTCGCGAGCCGCAGTTTGCCAACCACTGACCTAGACCAAATATGATCTTTAAAAAAATTATCAGTATTCACATTTTACAGCATTTCCCTTCCTTGATACTTACACATATAAACTTTCTCTTATGGAAAATTTCAAACATATACAAAAGTAGAGAGATACAGTAATAAATCCAATGTATTCATTGCTCATCTTCAATAATTTTCAAAGCATGGCTGATTTTATTTCATCTATATACCCCTCTCCCCCGAGATTCTTTTGAAGCAAATTTCAAACATCATTTTATCTCTCTAGTATTTTCAGCATAGAATAATTATTTTACAGAACTTTTAAAATTAGAAATCTATAATTACAGTAATTCCTTGCATGTTTACTCTGTGCTGGGGATTTTACCTGCATATCTCATTTACTGCGGTAATCCTGAGGAGTAAGTCATCATCGTTGTTTAGAGATGAAGACGCTGAGACTCAAAGAAATAGTCACTTGCCCAAAGTTGCATGGCTAGAAGTAGAAAAGCCAGATGTCATTCTAGCTTGATCTCTTTAGTCAGGTCTAACCTTGCCCTAGTCAGATGCTGCTTGCCAAATTATTTTCATGCTGGTGGCCTAGGGGACATGATGGCCAAACTGTGGGGTTGGGGTCTGACTTTGAAAGCATTACTACTATTAGAGAATGAGTGGAAGATAAAGACTATCTTGTCTTCTAATTTGAGAAAGAATTGCTGTGTAAAGACAGCCCAAATGTGGATTCTACGAATTCCAGCTTGGAATGAATTTGTTTATAGAACCCTGGAGGTCAGAAGCTCTTGAGAGGTCATTGGGTTCAGCCCCCTTTCTTAGGCATCCTGGAGACATGGGCACCTGTCATTATTAAAGGTCTGGATAGGGAATCCATCAGAATGCTTAAATTGGGAAGTTACCAACTTCTGGAAAAATGCAGACTTTTATCACTGAATACTTCTGTCACACATACCTCCTCTTCCTCTTGTTAACCAAGACTTTGTCCCCCGATTACTTCTGAGAAGGTAGCCTCTTTTATTCTACCAAAATATCTCTGTAGCTAATCTCAATTCCTTTCAGTTTCCAAGGGAAAGATGTTCTTTTCAAGGGTCACTGTTCCGTTGTAGAGTCTATTTCCTGGCTGTCATAAGGAGTACTTGTTTATCTGGAGTGGTGGGGGTGCACCAGTGTGACCAGACACTCCTTCAAGGAGGCAGAAAGTGCTTTGGGCATTGAGAGGAAGGGAGGATTCCTATGCGCTGATGTGGTGATCCCTGCACTTACTCATGAAGTACTTACTGAATGCCCGCATTGTGTCAGGGGCTGTGCCAGACTCTGCAGTTACAGCAGCACGTAAGGCACATGTGGTCCTGTCTGTGAAGAACTTACAGCTGAATAGGGAAGATAGATAATCAAACGGAAGATCACAAATGTGACCAATGTTCATGACCGAGGAAACAAAGGGTTCAAAGGGAGTTGATAAAAGACGGTTCTAACCTGGCTTAGGGATCATGGAAGGCCTCTCCATCCGGGGAAGGTATGTTGTTTAAATTGAGACCTGTCCAGTCCAGGTGAACAACCTGGGCAAAGCCCTTGAGGGCAGAGAGGGAGAGCGTAGAGAGGGGTCTGTACAGGCTGAGTTAGAGTGGAAACTGAAGAGCACCAGTTGGATTCTGGAGATACTCGGGAGGTAACATTGACAGGACGTGGTGACGGATTGTCTGTGATGGGGATGAAAGAGGGGGAAGACTTTCTTGAAGTGTCTGGCCCTAAACAGGAGGAAGGGGGAGGATTTAGATAAGTAAGGATCAGTGTGCACGTGTATGAGGGTGGTTCACAGCGGAGGGAAGTGTGACCAGTCTTGGTGGGGTCAGAGGGTGAGAAAATTTGATGTGTAGTGGAGGTTTGGGAAGAGGAGTGTGGAGATAAGGTTGGAGACAAGGCTGCAGCCCATTCTAAATGGTTTCCTCCTGAAACACACTTGGACTTACTTCCTGGTGGAGCTCTGGAGGGCGAGTGAGGCATGAAACCATTTTAAAAAAGTGCCAACGAATAAGATGACTGTTATAATCTTTTACACGGGAGCTTGATTTTGTTGTGTAGTGTGTTATGTGGGGAGGAAAGAAAGGTGAGGATCATTTATGTCCTTCACACATCAGCTCTCGGATTATGTTGAGTGGAAAAGGAAAATTGGCTCTTTTCTTTTTCTTCTTCAAAGAGAAGAAGGCCACATTGACTCCGCTTGCAAAGCCTTCACCCTGGTTTCTTGGTGGGAATCCTTCTAGAGCAGTGGTTTTCAAAGTGTGGTCTCTGAACCAGAACTTGTTACACAGGCAGGCAAATTCTTGAGCCTACCCCAGACTTCCTGGATCAGAGACTCTGGAGTAGGACCCTGGAACATGAGTTTTAACAAGCCTTCAGGTGATTCTGATTCAGGTTTTCATCCCTCCTAAATTAGTCCCAGATTCTTTCATTCATCCTTAAGTCTCCCCCACATACCCCTCATTCTCTGGGCAACAGTGATAATCTTAGAGGGCTTTGAATCAGACAAACAGTTTCTTTTCCTATGGGAAGAAAAAAAGGTTTCCATTGTGACTTCCTTTAGAGTATTGCTGATGTGAACAGATAACACATCTCCCCTACTGTTGGCAGGTGGAGCTCACCTGGGCTGCTTGGTGTAGCAGGTGCATGCCCACTAAAAGATGCTTTTTCATCTTGCATATTAGAAGCATGGAGAAGAGAAATGTGAAAGCTATGATTTGGTGGATCCAGAGGACATAAGGTCTGAGTATTCTAGTTACTGTGTCAGTAATGCAGAATTAGTCAGGATAGGCTAGGGTCTGCTACGGTAACAATATGAAACAAAATCTCAGTGACTTAAAAGAGTTAAGGTTTATTCTCACTTTTACTGAGAAAGAAACCTGAATTGTCACCTTTACTGAGGGAGGCTCCATCTCTGTGCTTCCTGATCACCAAAGGGAACTTTAGTGACTTGTGCACTGGCTCTTTCACTCACATTTCATTGGCTAAAGCAAGTCACATGACCACTCCTAACTTCAAAGGGGCAGGAAAGTGCATTTCTACCATGCACCTGGGAAGAAATATTTGTTGGTCAGCACTAATGACTACACTTAATCCACAGTCAAGATTTATTAAGGGAAGTCGGACCTTTCAAATCTGTCACTGACAAGCTTCTTTTGCTGCATGACTAGAGTGTTTACTACATGACTAGAGCAGTGGTTCTCAACCTTCTGGCCCTTTAAATACAGTTCCTCATGTTGTGACCCAACCATAAAATTATTTTCATTGCTACTTCATAACTGTAATGTTGCTACTGTTATGAATCATAATGTAAATATCTGATATGCAGGATGGTCTTAGGCGACCCCTGTGAAAGGGTCATTCGACCGCCAAAGGGTTCGCAACCCACAGGTTGAGAACCGCTGGACTAGAGTGTTTTCTGTTATGCTACCGAGTTCATTGTCAGAACCAAATTCATTGTCACTCAATGGGTCCTTCAGCCTTGTTCCCAGGGGACACCCCTGCACACCCAAGCTGATAGGCATGTGGAAATCTCTGTTGGAGGAGCTAATATAAGCCCAGGCAGCATTAGGAAAAGTACAAGTATAGAGAAAGGGGAGAGTAGTTCTGGTGTATCATGGCGTTTGTAGACTACTTCATTTGTTCATTTCAAGTTATGGAGCTCCAAGGATATGCCAAGCCATAAACACTGTGCTCTAGGTAATAAATTTCAAGAGGATGCTGAGCAATTGAGGTTCCCTTGAGGAGGGGGACCATTATGGTGAGTGGCCTAGAAATCCTGGCCCTAGCGTGTTTAGTCTGTAGGAGAGAGGATGGAAGAGGATGGGCTGCAAGTCTTCAAGAAGGGCTGGCTGGTGGAAGTGGGGTACATTTATTGCGTGGCTGCCAAAGGCAGGCATCAGATCCATGAGTAAAAGTGATAGGCAGGCCAATTTCAGCTCAGTCACAATTTTCCAGGAAAGAGATTTTCCAGCAACCTTTGTTTCAGGATCTGGAATTTCATCTTTAACATTAAATGACGTAATCTGCCTCTTAGAGTCTAAGAGCTGGCTT